ATGAGAAATATTGTTTCCCAGTAAAACTCTTTGAGATCCTTGGATAAAAGGAGATTATTTTTTTTTGTACGCCTACTGAGTATATAAATTTGAAGTGAGAAAGTGCAGCAAATACCAGGCTCTATGCAAGTCTTTTACCAGTACAGACACAGTACGATGAGTCTTGCTGCTGCTCATTATGGATTGTATTAAAGCACCTCATACTCCTGAAGACCTCTGTAAAGCACACTGAAAAAAAGGAGTTTAGGTCATACTTGACACTTAAGTGTGTGTTCTGTTCAAGGCTTTTTATAGTTAAGTACAGCTTCAATAAAACTTCTCTGACACTTGCATTGGTAACTACCATTCTTTGATATGCCAGATACTGTACCACCTTCAGATGAAATAGTACAGGGAGACTTGTAGAGCTGTTTTCTGTCAGTCTCCATCACCTCTTTCACATTATGTCTTTGGATGTGTTTTATTACTGAATTTTCATAATATTTTGGAAACTTGACCTTTCCAGAATTGTTTGCGTTAATACTACAGTCTTAACCTTTCCCCTGGTGCCTCCTGAAACAAAACACAAATTAATGATTCAGACACCACAAAACAAATCACATGCCACTTGTTTCTTCCCAACTATTCTTCATTGTCATTGTTTGCTGTATTGCATGCAAGTCCTTGTGTATTCTGTGGTGAAAGGGATCTAAATAATGCAGATTTTAAGGGGGGTCAGTAGCAGATGAGGGAAACGATGCAAGAGTTTCAGGTATATGCAGAAGATTATTTGGATAAACATAAAAAGAATGCAGTTATTTCAGCAGTGACGTGGAAGTTAACTTAGGTTGATGTATAGTTTGATTTTTAATAAATTCAGACTTATTTTGTGATAGTCCATAAATAGTTGTGGAAGTGGCGGAGGGTACCTGAAATTTCTGGTCTCTGGTGCTTCAAGGGAGAATATGCTGTTGTCTCTTTTTGTAAATGATTGTCCCTCTGGTTTTGCATCTTTATCTTATTCCATTCCATTTATCATCATTCTTTGTCCCTTTTTAATTTGCCAACTTCCTAGGAGGTTTTCTTCACAACAAGTGCCTGTTTTAGCTTCATCATTTAAAAAAAAAAAAATCCCATCAGTTACTCTAGCTATCACTGCATTTTATCCACTCATATTCTGCACCAAATTCAGTAAATACACAATTTAAAACTTAAGTTTTTAATTTCTCTTTACATTTTCCTCACCTTTTCACCATTTTCCATTCTTTTATTCTTCACTTGAAATTGATTTTACCAAAATGTATGATCTTTGCTTGGCTAGATGCTAATACGTTTACTCAGTTTTTCTTGTTTTGACCATGAAAGAAGCAGCTTTCCCCGTTCGGGGCCACCTGCTGTGCTCCTTTTGCTGCTGTAGTGCTTATGCCACAGCACAGTGAACCATATTGGGGAATTGGTCTGACTGAAAAATAATTTTGCCAAAATTGTGTTGCTTCTAATTCCCCACTCTGGTTTACCATATGGCTGTACAAATGGCCATGTCAGCAGTAGGGAGAGGATGATGCAAGGCTGGAAACGAGTGGCCAGACTCAGGAGTGGGTCAGGAATGCTGCGTTAGCTAGCGGTGCCAGGTTATGTCAAAATAAAGAGTTCATCAGAGTAAAGTCTAATTGTCTCTGATGTGATCACATCCTACTTCTGGAAATCCTCATCTCTGCTGCTTTTTTCCCTTTGCTTCTCTCCCTCTCCCTTTCCCCTTTATTGCTTAACATATTTTCCAAAGCTGACTGTTCATCTCTTTCTTATAAGAATTGATCAGTAACAACATCGGTGTAAGTCTCCATTTCTCAGTGGGCACAGGAGGTGGAGCCTGTCATTCTCAGGACATGTTGAAAACCTCCTATTTGAATCATTTGGGTGGGCATCTTTAGTCAAACTTGTACCATCATTTAGAAATAACTTAAATATTTATGATGAAGTTTAGACTGACTGTTGGAGTTGGATTCCTATAAGTTTCAGAAGAATTATTTAAATCAGTAGTTTTCCAAGGCAGCAGAGTATGATACCTGTTTAATATGAAATTTTAAAGACTTGAGTAATTTTGATAGACTCACTGGCAACAAAAAAGATGTAATATAACCTTATCTGCTTTCATAGTGCCTTTCCAGCAGGGACCAGATACCTTCACAACAAATAATTTTGTTTTTCATGTCTCTGAAATTGCAAGGTGCTCTTTGTCAATAAACAAATGTAAATAATCCCACCCTTTTCCTTAGTCTACAGAGATGTACTTTCATTCATCTTCAATCAAATTATTAATAGCAGCATAAAAGTGTTTGTGGGTTTTGGTTTTTTTTTTGGAGGGGGGAGGGGGGAAGAGGGTGGTTTGTTGTACTCTACAAATATTAAACTGATTCTAAAATGGTGAAATATACATCTGAACTTCAGTTACCTGCAAAACTGGGTATTTTGAAATCTGAGCCTAGTTTAATGCCCGCAAAGAATATGAAATCACATCTAAATCCAGTTCTTCATACTCCTATGGTGCTGGCTAAATAGATGTTCTGGCTTGATTCAGACCTGTATGTAATGGCACATCTGCATGTGTTTAAATCTCAGAATGTTTCAGCTAAACTAAAAATACCTATCTGTTGATGTTAAATTCATGTAAACTATGTCCCCTGTATTCCTTTATTTACTTGGGAAAAAGTAAGAGAGAAGGTGTCATTGTTTAACAGTGATACACACCATTGAGACAGATTCTGCAGCTCGGCTCTGATATTCAGCTGTTTACATCCTTTCAGAAAGTAATGATATTAATTACCCTCTGGTCAATCATATGAGCTGTAGTTCATTGTGTTGTCCTTGCCTTCTTTCTGGCTATCACAATCCTGATTATTGACTTTGAAAATTTCCATTTGTTTCTAGGACAAAAAGATCAATCTTTGGTTCTTTCAAAGATCAAACCATGAAGTAAACCAAAAATTTGAGCGTAATGCACTGAAACAAACATGAGCTCTCTCAGGCTACAGATCCTCATTCAGTATTTAATTTTTTTTCAGTAAATAAGTGGTTTTCCAAGCAATACCAGGATCTGATGCACTGCCGTGGTGAAGGTGAACTATTGAATTCCATTCTCTGGAAGTAACTCCAAATCAGAAATAGAAAAGAGATTGTTCATAGGCATTTAAAATGTAAATAATATGACTTTTTGTAGGTTTATGTCCCATGATCTGTATATCTTCTCCCAAAATATCCCTTGCTACATGTGCACTTGGGGATCTGATGCCCATGTCACAAGGCTGGCAGCACTCCTTTGCCTGAGAGCTCTTACTCGCCTTCCTCCTATTCTCAGTAGTCGTATAATGTCTTCTTAGCCTTTATCCCTTCTGTATTGTTGGTACCTGCCGATAACATGGATCCTACCACCTGCTTTTTTCTGTAAGCCCTTGAATTGCTATTCTCTTTTCCCTACTGAAAGGAAGGCATGATCTTTATTCAGGAGTTGCTCTCAGATTCCTGAGGTAATATTTTTCTTGAATTGCTGCCACTGGAGATAGTAGTTGTGTTCTCTTTACCTAAATGTTTCTGTCAAATAGTTTTCTATTTCTCCCCTGTTGCCTTGCCTAGATTTTTATGTACTTTCCATAGTTGTCGTATTTTTATCTGTAAGTGTTCTGAAAACAGGCATTTAAGTAATGGCTCTCTGGTCTCCCTTAACTCTGATACAGTTATTCTGGAAAGCAATTTTGTATTCACTTCAATTCTCTATCAATCATATTCAATAGAAAACGGAAAGAAAATTCTTGGTGAAACCAACAAAACAGGAAAACAAGCTAACTGAAAAAATGAATTTCAGATGAATGTTCAAACTATTGTAATTTTAAGACCTTTCCCATCCTGGTTCGGACTGAAAATTCAACAGCCCATGGAGTTGCAAGATGGGATGTAAGAATGAGATTTGTGTTATTACTAAAATAATAAAATTTGCCATGTAATGGTGGCATGGCTATTCCTGCTCCAGCTACCAGTATCTTCCCATATCATGTTTCAGAGGAGTGTAACAGCAGGTTTACAAAATGACCTAATAGAATAAATAATGGCAAAAACATTAATGGTCATCATAGATGTAAGTTATTGTGCTGTAGTGACCAACATGTGCCAGAGAGATGTACACGTAGCGTAGCCTATACATCTGTTAAAAAACAAAGCCTACCACAATGTATGCATAAGATGTAGGTTTGGGTATCTGCGCTCATCAGTTACTTATTTTGGATTTCTTGAGAGCTAGATGAGATTTTTCTGCACTTTCATGAGCTCTGTCAGCACTTGTTCAGTCTAGTTGGCACCTCTTCATTTCTCTGTTTTTTTTCAGCAGATTTTCTTAGAGAAAGGCGGATGATCTAACACTGTGAAGAAATTCTAATTTGTGTTTCTCTTTATATACTTCCAGAGGACAGATGGACACGTCTGTTATTTAATAATGCTCATGTTACATCCTTCATAAAGAATCAGAATAGCTCCTAGCAGTCTGCCTGCCTGTCAGTAGCAGACACAAGCTTCTTGCTGGTTTTGTGTTAAATAACAGGGATTTCTGCACTCCGGTCTCCAGCTTTCAGAGTTTGAGAACAGCACATTCTCGGATGGGTACTGTAGATTCCTCATACTCTTGACTGCTGAGAAGTTCTCTCTCTTTCAGAGATTTTTGTGTGACCTTCTGGTAAATAAACATGCTGTGCTGGTTCTTGGAGAGTGGGAGCTACTTTTCAAGAGGATAAGGCGGTGGTGATAATAATAAACTCTTTACCATTGCCTGCCTCACTGCACATAACATCACTCTCATTCTTAAGAAATTGCCAGAGCATCCTGACACCAGCTCCTGAATCTGGAAAGGATAAGCTTTGTTTCATTTTTTTCTTCTGAACAGTCAGAACTGAAGAACCCTCGGATATTCTTTGGCTTGCCTTCTGAGCCACTTCACCGTCGACTAATGCTGAAGGAGTGGCATGGTGCATGGCACTGGCTACCCAGTGTTTCACGAGTGGTGAGTAACATTCCCAGCAGCCTCAGTTCAGGAATTGAATGATCCAGCTGGAACCGCATTTGAAAAGCTGAGACTTCTTAAACCTTTGCTGGACTGTAAAGACACCCATCGATCTATGTGTTTCTAATCTCTTTTCAACTTTCTGGAGCCACCGAAACCTTTCCAATAATGGGTCACCGGGTCTCCTTCCTATGATCTGGGGAATAAGTTGTATGTCTTTGTCGCACCTTTACACAGAAGGTATCAACAGTTTCTTCATGGGCTAGGATGTTATCAGTGTTACTCAGTTTGCTGACAGTTCATACACTGTTGAAGTCTGATATTGGCAGCCCATTTCAGCATCTTCATGGTTGTACCTAGATGATTAGTTAGTATTTGCCAACCCTTAGTGACAGGTACTTGCTAAAGTGTCCTTGTTCTGAAGTCAGTATTGCTAATGCCAATATAATGGCTGGGAATTCAGAAGGGATGATCTGGACTTTGTTGGCTGGTGTGTTCCCCATAGACATAATGCAACGGAACATAGTCAGATCTTCTTTGTATGCTGTTAAAGAATGAAGTTTCTATATCTGCTCCCAGGTTTATTATTCTATAATGGGAAAAGGATCCTATCAGTTTCATGGGTTGAAGTTTTTTGCTTCTTCGTAATATGTCAAGCTTGTTCATCTCTGTCATGGTTCCACTAATTATATCAGGAAGGACTTAACTGGGAAAACTGAACTAAGCAGCTGGTGGTTTGACTGTGTCTTGGTGCTCTGAATCTTTGTGAGCCTTACTATTCTGGGCTGTCTCCTTTGTTAAGATGAAGCTTGTTGCTAACTCAGTTTACCGCTGCATTTTTGGAAATACAGAATTTCCTAAAGTCCATATTCTTGTAGTGAAAGAGTTGGTTCCCCAGAAGAACTGAATCTGATCTGTGATATTCCGATGAGAACATCTTGCTATTTAGAAAGAAAGTAATCTCATCATGTCAGCAAATACGGTTATTGCTTGTGTCTTCATATATGGCTATATTGGTGTCTTAATTTTAAGAGAATATCTCTTCTGAACATCCATGGGAGCATGAGGAGGAGCTTTGTGCCCTCAGCTGAGTGTGGTACCACCATGCAGAGACCCTGCTCTGCAGAACAACACTCCTGTGACTTTCACCTGTGGCTCCTGCAGCTGCTTCCAGGGGAACTGGGCTGTGCTGCAGAGCTGCCAGGAGGGGAAAGTGTGTGTGAATTGACAGTAGAAGATAGAAGAACCCAGTTACTTGGTTTCTTTGTTAATGTGCACATTCCATATCCTGCCATGTGTCCTTCTTCTTTAGCCTTTTAATTCTGGGCTGTTACAGATGATGCCCTTTATGCTTCAGTGATGTTGGACTGCATGCCTGCTGTAAAACATCGTTAGAACAAATTAACAATGTTTTTTTAATAATGTTATGGTAATGTTAGTGTTAATACAGCATGGAAAAATTAACTAAAATCAACAACAACAACAAAAGACCGTTTGGTTTTATCCTTTATAGTGGTATTAAATGAGACTCATGATATTTTCTTATCTAAACCCTGAAAACCTATCTTTACAGCAGTGGGGAGGAATAATATTTTTCATAAGCAATATAAATAAACTGAGCTTCTAAGATAATATAGTTTAGCTATTAGCTGAATAGCTTTTTAGCTTAGCCTATTATTTTTTTAAGGATATGAATTCTAGATAATGAAAAAGCGTTGGGATAAACAGTCCAAGGCAGTATTACTGATGGGGCCTTATAATAAAAGAAGTCACATAGCATAATTTTTATGATATTGTGTCTTTGCCTCTAAGCGAAAAAAAGTGATTCTCTGTATGAGGTAGTAGTTTCACTTTCTGTCATGTAATGCAGAAGGTAGGAAATAGTTTGGGAAAGCTGAGTTTAATTACAAAAGAGTGCCTAAAGAACATGGTGTAAGAAGGTGATTGGGCCTGTCTGCAGAGGCACTTGAATGAAAAGAATTTTTAAACATAATCCCAAGAGGAGCAGTTCTGGTGTGCTGATTCAGAGAGCTCATCACCTTTTAATGCCATCTTCATAGATTTATTTGTATGTTGTTAGACTGTTCCTTCTCAATGCACTTTGTACAATCTTTTCACTTTAAAGAAAAAAAATGAATGTAATCTTTTATCTTCTGAGTGTCTTTTCACACTTGATAGGGACTGTAAGTTTTCTTCTCTTTTTATGTATCAGAAAACTTAGCTACTGGAAAGCTCTATCATGTCACTGTCAACATGTTTGTGCATGTTGAGAATAAACTTGTACTTAATCAGTTTTCCTGCAGGGTTTTCTCTTCTCCTGAAAGTCTTGTTTTGTAGGAGGTTGTCCCTAAGCATTGCAGGTGTTGAATTAATTCTGTTGGTGAAGATGGTAGAAAAATGAGGCAGGGGAAGTTCTGAAACCCAGAATTAACTCAAAATTTGTGCATCTAGGAGACTGTTAGCGAGAAGTCACTTGACTGTGCAGGTCCTTTATGTATTGTTCTGATGGTGTGGGAATCTTTTGATACCTCATGTTAAAATCTGAGAGATTTAAAAGCCTTTTAATGATTTTTGGTCATGCTATGTAGGTGATTATGTTGCCGTCCATCCCTTCTGTTTAACCATGTGGAAAGCATCTCAGCAGAGTGCATCAGGCACCTTACGCAGGTGGTGTTACTCTGACTATAGATATATCTAGCATCTTTCTTTTAAGCTTGGGAGCACACTTGGGCATGGTTCTTGTCTCTTGGCTACAGTTTTTCTTCTTGCTTCCAGGTGGTGTGTGTTTGGTTTTCTGTGGGTTTTGGGAAAGTTTTGCTAATTTCTATTGCTGTTTGGTCTTCTGTATCCACTGCAAAGGAGAGGAGTAGGACATGGAGTAGGTCAGAGAGAGGTTGAGAGGTGGTTAGAGAAATGGGCATAATGTAGAGAAGGATTTGAGTGGTGAAGGGAATTGAACAGTTAGAAGGGGGACTGTTAGAGCCTTGAGAAATGAAGAAGGGACTTGGAGGAGATCTGGAATACTTGAAGGAGGGGAATGGTATGGAACTAATGGTTTCAGTAATAAATAATTTTCTTTGTGGTTTCAGTGAATCTGTAGCATCAGCTTGTGAATCTGATCCATGTTTGTACCTGCCTTTCCAGGGAAAACAACAGGAACAAGAGCCAGGCTATTTTAAGATTACTTAATTAGCATATTATTTAAATTGCCTAATGATGCCTAATGACTTCTAAAAGGGCTATTAGTAGCCACATTTAAATGTCTGAAAACATAAACTTAACAATATGCCATCTCCAGTGTTCACTGTTATCTACTGTTTCTTTCCGGGATGATAACATGCACTTGCTAAGACAAAAAATATTACATTTGATGTCAAATATTCATAGAAGAATGGTTCTACCAAGAGAGACCATATCTTTCTTTATAAAATTAGAAAATATATTGAGAAAATTTTCTTGCTTATATTATCAACTTGATAGGAGTTTTTGTTGTTTTTAATGGTATTCATAGAAGTAACTTTAAATATTCGTTATTGTAACTTGTTTTCATTGGCATTTTTGTTGTTTGTAATGTTATTCATAAAAATAACTTAAATATTCATTATTGTATAAACCATAGCCTTTTATTGTGAGTTTGTGAACTCTGACCATAAGCAAGAATTATAGTGGTATATTTTAGAACTGCATTTTCCTTTAAATAAAGCAGAAATACCTAGAGTAAGGTCTTTTAGAGCTTTTGAGAAACTAAGCTAGATTCTTTGTAAAACTTGCCCCATTCATTATTTTTGATATTTGTTTACTGAATACATCTTAGAGGTACGCTTTCTCATTTGTGTAAGTGAGCACTAGTGGAGACTAATCATATCTGATCTAATGGTGAACTTTTTTCTAAAAAATGATCATAATTTTGGGATAGCTGACACCAGGTTGAAATCTAGGTGTTCCCTGTCTCTACCATCAACTGTCTCTGTACTTGGCATTATTCAGAGGGAGACACTGCGCAGATACTCATTTGTGCTCTGTATTTTGAGAGGTGATTTTTTTTTTTATCCACGGTAGCTTCTGTTCCCTTTTAGAAAAGGGAAATGAATCTGTCCCAAAATGTTGGCTGCTTGGCAGTTGAGCAGAAAAAAGTGTTCAATGATGGCCTCAAAGGAAAGGTATTTAAGGAAGTGTTGATTTTACTTTCTGGCAGCTTCCTTTCCACTGCTTTTATAGAAAACAGCAAGAATTTTGATTCTCACCTTTACCAAAAGGACGAGAAGCTGAGAAACTTGGGTACATTCTGCAGAGCTTTTTCTCGTTAGGGACACTTAAATTTATCATTTCTGTCAGAAGACTTGAATCTTTTTGGCTCCACAGGCTTGAAGGAATTCCAGTTTGTTTGTCAGAGATTCACGTCTCCACATACCAGTGCACGCTGGAAGTATGGGTCATTGAGTATGTATGGATCCTTGAGAACTGAAATGCTGGGCAGAAATATGTCTACTTATTAAGTCCTCTACTGTGTTTAATGTGGGCTGCAATTGCACCTGAGGAAGTAGTTACTTCCTAGATTTAAAAACTGCAGCATCATTTCCATTCTTAGTTTTTAGGGCAAGAGTTACTGCCCTGTCTTTGATAGGGATTTTGGCTAAATGTCAGTTGTCTACATAATAGCTTGTACTGAATTTCCAAATACTAAAGGTCTACTATCATAAAAGTACATTGACTTGTTGCGTTACTGAGATGCTTGTCAGAGAGCTTTGGAGACAGGATTTCATCCCTTGTATAGAAATAATGAATATATAGAAATAATGAATAGCAGAGTGAGTTTTATACTGTGACTATTGCTTAGGCTGTCACTGCACATCAGCTACGTAAAATATGTGTTCCATACATTGTTTTGGAAATCATGGTATTGTGGATAAGTTGTTTTTTTCATGCAGATTGACATTACCTTTTTATTTTGACTAAGAATTACCTTTCTGGCATTTGTAGTGTGGCAACTTTGCTGAAGA